CTCATAACACCATCTGTGAGGGAGTTACTACACCACGTGAGGTCCCTCATAACACCATCTGTGAGGGAATTACTGCACCACGTCAAGCCCCTCATAACACCATCTGTGAGGGAATTACTACACCACGTCAAGCCCCTCATAACACCATCTGTGAGGGAGTTACTACACCACATGAGGTCCCTCATAACACCATCTGTGAGGGAATTACTACACCACGTGAGGTCCCTCATAACACCATCTGTGAGGGAATTACAACACCACGTCAAGCCCCGCATAACACCATCTGTGAGGGAATTACTACACCACGTGAGGTCCCTAATAACACCATCTGTGAGGGAATTACTACACCACGTCAAGCACCTCATAACACCATCTGTGAGGGAATTACTACACCACGTGAGGTCCCCCATAACACCATCTGTGAGGGAATTACTACACCACGTGAGGTCCTTCATAACACCATCTGTGAGGCAATTACTACACCACGTCAAGCACCTCATAACACCATCTGTGAGGGAATTACTACACCACGTGAGGCCCCTCATAACACCATCTGTGAGGGAATTACTACACCACATCAGGTCCCTCATAACACCATCTGTGACGGAATTACTACACCACATCAGGTCCCTCATAACACCATCTGTGAGGGAATTACTACACCACATCAGGTCCCTCATAACACCATCTGTGAGAGAATTACTACACCACGTCAGGCCCCTCATAACACCATCTGTGAGGGAATTACTACACCACATCAGGTCCCTCATAACACCATCTGTGAGGGAATTACTACACCACATCAAGCCCCTCATAACACCATCTGTGAGAGAATTACTACACCACGTCAAGCACCTCACAACACCATCTGTGAGGGAATTACTACACCACATCAGGCCCCTCATAACACCATCAGTGAGGGAATTACTACACCACGTTAAGCACCTCATAACACCATCTGTGGGGGAATTACTACACCACGTGAGGCCCCTCATAACACCATCTGTGAGGGAATTATTACACCACATCAGGTCCCTCATAACACCATCTGTGAGGGAATTACTACACCACATGAATCCCCTCATAACACCATCTGTGAGGGAATTACTACACCACGTGAGGTCCCTCATAACACCATCTGTGAGGGAATTACTACACCAAGTCGAGCCCCTCATAACACCATCTGTGAGGGAATTACTACACCATGTGACGTCCCTCATAACGCCATCTGTGAGGGAATTAATACACCACATCAGGCCCCTCATAACACCATCAGTGAGGGAATTACTACACCACGTTAAGCACCTCATAACACCATCTGTGAGGGAATTACTACACCACGTGAGGACCCTCATAACAACATCTGTGAGGAAATTACTACACCACGTCAGGCTCCTCATAACACCATCTGTGAGGGAATTACTACACCACGTGAGGTCCCTCATAACACCATCTGTGAGGGAACTACTACACCACGTCAGGCTCCTCATAACACCATCTGTGAGGGAATTACTACACCAAGTCGAGCCCCTCATAACACCATCTGTGAGGGAATTACTGCACCACGTGAGGTCCCTCATAACACCATCTGTGAGGAAATTACTACACCACATCAAACCCCTCATAACACCATCTGTGAGGGAATTACTACACCACGTGAGATCCCTCATAACACCATCTGTGAGGGAATTACTACACCACGGAGGTCCCTCATAACACCATCTGTGAGGGAAATTACACCACGTCAGGTCCTCATAACACCATCTGTGAGGGAATTACTACACCCAGTCGAAGCCTCATAACACCATCTGTGAGGAATTACTACACCACGTGAGTCCTCATAACACCATCTGTGAGGAATTACTACACCACGTAGTACCCTCACAACACCATCTGTGAGGAAATTACTACACCACGTGAAGTCCCCTCATAACACCATCTGTGAAATTACTACACCACGTAGAGTCCCTCATAACACCATCTGTGAGGAATTACTACACCACGTCAAGTCCTCATAACACCATCTGTGGGGAATTACTACACCACGTGAGGCCTCTCATAACACCATCTGTGAGGGAATTACTACACCACGTGAGGTCCTCATAACACCATCTGTGAGAATTACTACCACATGATGCCCATCTGCATACCATCTGTGAAATTACTACACCACGTGAGTCCTCATAACACCATCTGTGAGAAATTACTACCACGTTGAAGTCCTCATAACACCATCTGTGAGAATTACTACACCACGTCAGGCCCTCATAGCACCATCTGTGAGGAGTTACTACACCACGGAGGGCCCTGGGCAGCTGCCCACTTTGCCTCCTGAATCCGGCTGAATAAAGTTACATATAGACAAAAACAATAACAACACAGACACAGCTTCACACCTCACTCTGGGGGTCAGCACTTGATGAGAGACTGGGCACTCACTGGGCACTCACAAACAAACTTAAAACTGTCATAACAAATATAAGAATGATTAAACTCAGGCCAGGCAGAATGTGTGTGTGTGTGTGTGTGTGTGTGTGTGTGTGTGTGTGTGTGTGTGTGTGTGTGTGTGTGTGTGTCCCCTGCGCTGTACACGGTAGGGGCCCCAGGGAATCTAGGATCCCCAGCAGCCACCTGACGATTAAAACCCCATTGCTACAGGGGAGGTTAGGTTAGCTCTGGGGTATTTAATCATCAAGTGTAATAAGCTGGTGTTTGTAATCCTAGTGAGATGCCGGGAGTGTTGAGCAGAGCACGAGAACTTCTGTCGAGCTCTCAGGACCAACCTAACTAACCTAACCTAACCTAACCTAACCTAACCTAACTAACTACTCTAAATAACATCAGTGTTGTTAATCATGAATTGAAATAAGCTAAGGGGGCGGAGGAGGTCATATCTACAGGTGATCCTAGTTTCACTTCAGAATTAAACACACAACACACAGACTCTTAAGACACAACACACAGACTCTTAGACACAACACACAAGACTCTTAAGACACAACACACAGACTCTAAGACACAACACACAGACTCTTAAGACACAACACACAGACTCTAAGACACAACACACAGACTCTAAGACACAACACACAGACTCTTAAGACACAACACACAGACTCTTAAGACACAACACACAGACTCTTAAGACACAACACACAGACTCTTAAGACACAACACACAGACTCTTAAGACACAACACACAGACTCTTAAGACACAACACAGACTCTTAAAGACACAACACACAGACTCTAAGACACAACACACAGACTCTTAAGACACAACACACAGACTCTTAAGACACAACACACAGACTCTTAAGACACAACACACAGACTCTTAAGCACAACACACAGACTCTTAAGACACAACACACAGACTCTTAAGACACAACACACAGACTCTTAAGACACATCACACAGACTCTTAAGACACAACACACAGACTCTTAAGACACAACACACGGACTCTAAGACCAACACACAGACTCTTAAGACACAACACGCGACTCTTAGGCACAACACACAGACTCTAAGACACAACACACAGACTCTTAAGACACAACACACAGACTCTTAAGACACAACACACAGACTCTTAAGACAAACACACAGACTCTTAAGACACAACACACAGACTCTTAAGACACAACACACAGACTCTTAAGACACAACACACAGACTCTTAAGACACAACACACAGACTCTAAGACACAACACACAGACTCTAAGACACAACACACAGACTCTTAATACACAACACACAGACTCTTAGACACAACACACAGACTCTTAGACACAACACACAGACTCTTAGACACAACACACAGACTCTTATGACACAACACACAGACTCTTAAGACACAACACACAGACTCTTAAGACACAACACACAGACTCTTAGACACAACACACAGACTCTTAAGACACAACACACAACTCTTAAGACACAACACACAGACTCTTAAGACACAACACACAGACTCTTAAGACACAACACACAGACTCTTAAGACACAACACACAGACTCTAAGACACAACACACAGACTCTTAAGACACAACACACAGACTCTTAAGACACAACACACAGACTCTTAAGACACAACACACAGACTCTTAAGACACAACACACAGACTCTTAAGACACAACACACAGACTCTAAGACACAACACACAGACTCTTAAGACACAACACACAGACTCTTAGACACAACACACAGACTCTTAAGACACAACACACAGACTCTTAAGACACAACACACAGACTCTTAAGACACAACACACAGACTCTTAGGCACCACACAGACTCTTAAGACACAACACACAGACTCTAAGACACAACACACAGACTCTTAAGACACAACACACAGACTCTTAAGACACAACACACAGACTCTTAAGACACAACACACAGACTCTTAACAAGATTTTCACCAACCAAGTCGTATTTTAGGTCCCTCGCAGCTGACGAAGGGCCATGTGTTACCAGGACCAAGAAGCACGTATATACAGGATGATACATTTATACATATCCAGGTCAGGTATACATAGTGGTAATACTTATATACAGGCAAGACATTTACGTATTTACAAGAGGAAACGTAAATACAAAATGAGAACAGGTATACAAGCTGGGAGTATACTGTGTATATATGCAAGGAAGTTATACGGTATGTATACACAGAAGACAATGCATACATACGGAGGACAGATATACATGCAGGCAGGACATATATACATTCATGGCAGACATGCGTATACGCACCTAGGATAAACGCCACTGGAGGGGTGAGGGTCGTCCCCAGGCCGGGGAGGGGAGGGTGGGGTCTACTTACCTCTCCCTCGCAAAAACGATGGCCCACTTCCTCCTTAGCTGCGACCCACAACACAGGTCAGTAGTGCTGGTGCTGGTGGTAGGTGATAGTGATGGTGGTGGTAGGTGATAGTGATGGTAGTGGTAGGTGATAGTGATGATAGTGGTCGGTGATAGTAATGGTTAAAGTCCCTAATACTATACATGGTGACAGAAAACTTTGAACCGCTCTGTGACGATTCTACATCAGAACACACTCCCTCCTCGTCTTCAACTCTCCATCAGGCAACAAATGAAGGCGTCTCACCTGTCTACCTGGCCACTGAGCTAATTAGTGACTCTCAGGTGTGTTAATGGTCCTAGTTGACATATTGATATGAACTAAAATAATAATGGACTTTTTAAACACAGGGATATGTGTTACGTGTGTTCAATGCAACTATGTCTAATGTAGGTGTATAATTAACGCAGGTGTAGTAATGTAGGTGTATGATCAATGCAGGTGTAGTAATGTAGGTGTATGATTAACGCAGGTGTTTTAATGTAGGTGTATGATTAACGCAGGTGTTTTAATGTAGGTGTATGATCAATGCAGGTGTATTAATGTAGGTGTATGATTAACGCAGGTGTTTAATGTAGGTGTATGATTAACAGTGTTTTAATGTAGGTGTATGATCAATGCAGTGTTTTTAATGTAGGTGTATGATTAACGCAGGTGTTTTAATGTAGGTGTATGATTAACGCAGGTGTTTTAATGTAGGTGTATGATCAATGCAGGTGTTTTAATGTAGGTGTATGATTAACGCAGGTGTATTAATGTAGGTGTATGATCAACGCAGGTGTATGTTTAACGAAGGTGTGTATACCAGATCAAGAACATTTCCTGTCAACTGGATAAACATAGGCGTCACTACCTCCTTCCCTTCCCGTCTTCTCCCCTTCTTCCCTTCTCCTCAGTTCCTCTTCTTAACCTCTTTCTCTCCTCTCCTTCCCTTTATTCTCCCTTCTCCTCAGTTCCTCTTCTTAACCTCTTTCTCTTCCTCTCCTTCCTTTATTCTCCCTTTCCTCAGTTCCTCTTCTTAACCTCTTTTCGCTTCCTCTCCTTCCCTTTATTCTCCCTTCTCCTCAGTTCCTCTTCTTAACCACTCTCTTCCTCTCCTTCCTTTATTCTCCCTTCTCCTCAGTTCCTCTTCTTAACCTCTTTCCTTCCTCTCCTTCCCTTTATTCTCCTTCTCCTCAGTTCCTCTTCTTAACCTCTTTCTCTTCCTCTCCTTCCTTTCTTCTCCCTTCTCCTCAGTTCCTCTTCGTAACTCCTTTCTTCCTCTCCTTCCTTTATTCTCCTTCTCCTCAGTTCCTCTTCTAACCTCTTTCTCTTCCTCTCCTTCCCTTTATTCTCCCTTTCTCCTCAGTTCCTCTTTCTAATCTTCTCTTCCTCTTCCCTTTCTTCTCCCTTTCTCCTCAGTTCCTCTTTCTAACCTCTTTCTCTTCCCTTCTCCTTCCTTTATTCTCCCTTCTCCTCAGTTCCTCTTCGTAACCTCTTTCTCTTCCTCTCCTTCCCTTTATTCTCCTTCTCCTCAGTACCTCTTCTTAACCTCTTTCGCTTCCTCTCCTTCCCTTTATTCTCCCTTCTCCTCAGTTCCTCTTCTTAACCACTTTCTTCTTCCCTTCCTCTTCCCTTTCTTCTCCCTTCTCCTCAGTTCCTCTTCGTAACCTCTTTCTCATCCTCTCCTTCCCTTTATTCTCCCTTCTCCTCAATGCCTTGTCCTCCTCTCTTCCATCCCTTACACGCTTCCTTTCCTCCTCCTCCTCCTCCCTCCCTTCCTACTATGCTCCCCAGTGTCTCCTCCACAGCCCCTTCCTCCTCCTCCTCCTCCTCTCCTCCACCCCCCCCACAATCAAGGACAGTCACTTGGCATCTTGGAACACACCTAAATGACTCCTCCTCCCCCCCCTCGTCTTTAGGAAGTTACAGGAGGGGGAAGGAAGGTTCCGTGAGGGTTTTTTCCCATAACCAGTGCCGGATTAACCATGAGGCACTTGAGGCACTGGCCTCAGGCCCCCTGACTCTAAGGGCCCCCAAATCCAAACATTCTCGAAGGTGAAGCATATAAAACATGAACTTCGTTCAACGATGTCCTAGCAACGTTTCAATTTCTGTCTCTATGAACATTGAATGTGTTATTTTGCAGAAGCTTAATAATGATAAAATCATTGATAAATTTTGGTATATTTTGTTCTTACTATATATATATATATAACCTTGAGGGTAGGGGCCCCAAGTTGATCTGTGCCTCAGGCCCCTATTAAGCTTAATCCGGCCCCTGCCCTTAACGCAGTCCGTAAGTCCGTCCCTTCATCCACCATTCAGTCCGTAAGTCCGTTCGTCCTTGGGTCCGTTATTCGTCCGTAAGTTTATCCCTTTGAGCTTCCTTCCCTCGAGTCACAATAGGTTAGGTTAGGTTAGGTTAGCTAGAGTGCTTAATCTTCAGGTAAAACAAATTGAAAGTGGCTAATCTTCAGGTAACTCATTAGTGAAGCTTTATTCACTTCCATCAATATTAACTATACACCCGAAAAGTATTTAATTTAAACTTTGTCTCCACCCCACCGCCCCACCCACTCAACCCCCACCGCCCACCCACCCAACCCCCACGTTCAAACAACCTCATTAGCCTCTACCTCAATAATC